CTCGTTGGGGGTAGGGTTCCAAGTGCAGGGGCAATGAGACCCTGCAGTGGCTTCCAGGTGAAGGTGGTTGGGGCTCAGCGGAGGGGACTGGGTGTGGGGGGTCTCATCTGGGAGGTCTGGGTGCTGGGGGAGTGGGGTTGGGTGGGGGTCTGGGTGCAGCTAGTTAGAGGTCAGTGGCATGGGGGTCTGGATGTGGGGGCTCAGGATGGTGGTTTGAGTGCTGGGAGCTCAGCGGGGGGTAGTCTGGGTGAAGAGGTAGGGCTCTGGAGGCAGGGGGTCTGGGTGCAGGGGGGCTCCACATGCAGGGGTTAAGGTTCAGTGGGGTTGGGGTACGGGGTGAGGCTTGGTGGGGGTGTCTGGGTGTGGGAGGTCTGGATGCACGGGGATTAGATGGATGGGGGAGCAGCTCCTGATACAGTGACCCCTCTTCCCACAGGTGAGGAGCGATGGGGGCAGGAAGCAGGGGTGGATGCTGTGTTTCTTGCAGCTGGGTGAGGTTTCTGGGTCGGTCCAACACAACCCTAGCCACTTCTTTCAGGGGAAGAGGAAGTCCAGTCCTCTCCTGCCTCCAGCTCAGCCGGAACTAGCAGCTGATCCCGGCTCAGGATAGGAGCCACTGTCTGGGGTGTCCCCAGCCCCACAGTGATTTACCGCTCTGCCGGCTGCTCCGGATGCCTGAAACGATGTATCTGCTCTATTAGAGAGAGTGGTGCATGACTGCTCTTGCAGCTTCCCTTTGCTTCCCTGTCAGAAAGTCATTTTTCTGCAGGGAAGCAAAGAAATCTGCAGGGGACATGAATTCTGCGCACACGCAGTGGCATAGAATTCCCCCAGGAGTAACAATTCCCTGTATGCCACTGCACTAAGTACTCCTTCTGTCTCTTGTCTTCCTTTGATAGGGGAAGGAAGAGTGGGATTGTAAAGCCCCACCCTGCGGAGGTGCTGCCATCTCGGCTTTGGAATGAGGGGACGGATGTAAGTAGACTCCTTCCCCCCACCCCTCCCAAGCTGTTCCTTTTATTTTTTTTACTTTTCTCCAAAGGAAAGTAGGGCAGAGTGGTTCAGATGTCACTATTAGCAGCACAAGAACTATTGCGCTAAGTGCTAGGACAATGGTTCTATAAGGGACCCTCCTCCCTCTTAGCACTAGGGGAAGGGCCAGGAGGTCATGACCCCTGTTCACAGACCCCTTGGGTTGAGAACCCCTGCACTGGGGAATAGCCAGTAATTGTGTTACCTGGAACAAAGTCCCATATGTCCTGTAAAGAGAGCATCCCAACCACATACTTTTCTTCCAGTAACTTTTCATCCTCTTCTTTTCTGATAACGGTTCTTCAGAACCTGTGACCCCATGGAAACACCAGTCTTCTATTTACCATTAGCATTTGGAAGGCGCCCATCACCAGCAAAAAACCAGTCATGGGCTCTGGGTCTGTGAGGCGTGAAAGCCAGCCCTGCCCTCAACCCTCCCTCCGAACTCCAGGCTGATCTAAACTGGATTTGATCCCATTCTGTATTGTTTAACGGCCCATGCATTGACCCGCTGGAGCAGGGACGGCTACGTTCACATATGACCGCAGGGATGCAGAGAGACCCCCCCCGGCCCGTTCCACCTGAAAGTGATTTTACATGTTTCGCTCTGTGTGGGAGGTAGTCCGACTCTGTGCAGGCTGCATGGTCTGTTTCTGAATAACAGGATCACAGAGCTGTCACGTGGCCCCTTGAGGATGCATACATGAGTGTTCTATGCAATTTCAGGTCAGATTAGTGACTTGCTGGGAAACTTAAACCACGAATCTTGTTAGTCTCTAAGGTGCCACAAGGACTCCTCGTTTTTTTTCCTGATAAAGACTAACACGGCTACCACTGAAACCTGAATCTAGTGCAGTCATTAAGGTGTAATTAATGCGTGTGTCTGTGTATAGCTGAGCAAAATGTTAGCTGCTACCGCTGGCCAGCGAATTACCGAGTATCACGGTGGAATGCTTCCTTATTTCTGTTGTTCAGTAACAGAAATCATATGCAAATGCTTCCCCGGAAGCAGGGTTTTACCTAATAGAAAGGATTGTGTCTGGCAAAAGGTCTCCAGGTACAATCACCGGGAGAGAAGCCACAAGTGGCAGGGGGCACTGGCAGGGATGCGTGGGTGACTGTAGCAAGACTTGTTTTCTAGGGTAGTGGCGATTTCTCCTCTCTGCTCAGTGAGAGCAGAGGTGGGCGGAATGCAGCATTGAGCACCCATGAGTGAGGTAGAATCCCTCTCCGGCTGAGCGAAACATGCCTGGAGGGGAAGTGCAGCTTTGCTACGGAATGGCACAGACGTGATGTTCACGTCACTTTGCTGTCGGGGAGTTTGCCAAGGTCGCTACTGGGGAGCTCCACCGTGTGCAGTAATTAAAGTGAGACAGAAGGTGCAATGACATCAGGGTGGGGTGGAAATGACCTGCTATACATGGTACTGGCTAGCTGGCCTGAGTTCTGCGTTTCAGTGTGCAGTCTGTGCCGATTTGTATTGGAAATAGAATCAGTTCAACAATATACTGTGCCCTTGGTCTCTTATCTCTGACCCAGGCCTGTTGGTCTGTGCTCTCTCCAGCTGCCCAGTTTGCGCAGGCTGCCCCCTTGGGTTTGTCCCATGGTGTCCCCCGAACACGACACACAACGGTTATTGCATTTCCTTCCCGGCTTTCCTGCTGCTTGGGCTAACGCCAGCCGGTGGTCTGAGCAGCGCCAATCACAGTCCACCTGCCTTGGCTCTGAGTCAGCAAAGTCCTTCCCACTTACGCTCACATCTGAGTTTATGCATCTGCCTACGTCCCTTTGAAGCCAATGAGATTTAAGCATATGCTTCAGAGCTTCGTTGAACTGGCTCTTCTGGGAGTGGAGGACTGATTCTTAAACTGGCCCTGTTGGCTTTCAAACTGGGCAGAGACCTGTCCCTGTGAGGCCTCCTTATCATGCCTCATCCTTATCCGTGCTCTGACCCATGTGCGGTGTCAGGGCCCTATCTCTGTGCTGTAGGTTGGCAAGTGTCTAGGGGCCCCACCCAGGGACTAGGACCCCGTGGTGTTAGGATCTGTACAATAGACACATACCCTTTTTTTTGTAATATAGCAGTGCCAAATCAAGTGTTGAAAGTGAGATGCTGTAACCGAGGCTGCAGTTCTCCCTTCCACTCCCTCAAATCACTGGCCTCTTCTAGGATAGAGTGTTCGCTGTTGTAATGTCAGCCCAGCACACGGTACGTCCAAGGGAATCCACACAGTGGTGCCAAAAGGAACAATCCCAAGCTATCGCTCATGCTGCTCTGCCAATCGGTGGAACCAAAGACAAGGAGTGTTCCATCCCTCGGAAATCCCTTCTGCTCCCCAACCTTGGATGCCAACAGCGGCAGTAGTGTTCCCTAATGGTTAGAGCAGCGTACTGCCACTGGGTTCTGCTCTTTCCCTGCTATGTGATCGTGAGCAAGTCACCGAAACCGCTGCACAGCAGAAGTTACCCGCCTGCAAAATGAGTGGAGCAGCCTTTTCCTGCTTCGCAGGGGTGTTAATGAATAAATGCACGTAAATCGCTTTGAGATCCCCAGATGGAAGTCTCTCTGGAATGGCAAAGGAGTGTTATTGCTGTGGCTCCCTTCAATGCCGCAAACAGCTTGGAGGCCTCAGGAACGTAAAAGTACGTCTCCAGTAACTCAAACTGCGCCTAAGCCAGATCCAGCTGCAGCCTGCACTAGGGAAACTTCCACCTCTGGAACGATGCAGATATAGCTACAGGGGCTGGGGGTGGGGAACCCCTACAGCTTTACAGGGTGGGAGGGAGCCTCTAATGTAGACCCCACTGCAAAACGGACCTACCCTAGCAACTTCCATCGCCGTTTGGAATTGTCACCTTCTGGGTGTAAAACAACCCAACGTAGCTAGAGCTTTCCTGTATAGATCAGGGTGTTCACAGGGGCCAGGAGAGCAGGCCACTGATCCATCTTGCTGCTAGCCAGTCTCTGCCACTCTAGAGGAGAGCAAAGAGACCCCTTAATTCGTATGGCTCTTGTGTGGAGGGAGGGGAAGACTCAATGGCAAACATCAGGTCAGTTCCAGTTTTTAGTGGAACAATTAAGGTGCCAGAGGAGAGGACTGATTTCAGGTGGCAACGAGGCTACAGGACTAGGTGAGCCCTTAACCAAGGACTTTATTTCTCCTGCAAATAGGGCTTTATTAATGTTGTCTTTGTATTAATGAAGACAAAAAGCTCTGAGTACACAGTGCAGGATGATGCAGTGCGCTCGGCACTCCCAGACAAGAAAACCAGGGCTCTTCCCTGACTTTTTCCTGAGTCTTTTAAAGCAACACAAAACAAAAATAAAGCAAAACTGTGGTTATCCAAAGAAGGAAGCTCAAATGCATTGTTGGGCCATTGATCTGCTTGGCCAATAGGGATTTAGGCTGAATTCAAGTTTACAGGCTCGTGAGGTTTTTGGACTGTGGCTCTGAAACCTGCTCTTGACAAACCCTTTTCCTTTCCAGTGGGTGGATTTTAGAGGTGTGAATGTTTTTGTTTCCCGGTGACAGCTGAACAGAAACCTGACCTACTTTTACACACGGCCGCTGTGCTTAACTAGACAGACCGAGTCTGTACTGGATAGGGTGACCAGACAGCAAGTGTGAAAAATCGGGACGGGGGTGGGGGGTAATAGATGCCTAAATAAGACAACGCCCCAAATATCGGGACTGTCCCTATAACATCGGGACATCTGGTCTCCCTCGTACTGGATCTCTTTGCTGCTTGCATGGAGGCCAACCCACAAGAAGGGTTGAAATGCACCATGTCTGTGGTTGTGCAATTGTGTTAGCGGACACCTGCACCACCACCCAAGTGGAGTTGTGTAAGGGAGTGCTCTCTCTCGCTATTTTGGGGAAGCTCCCCTGCTTTTGACATGTGACGCGATGCACTGAGAACTGTGAGCAGAGAGTGGAATCTAAAGGGTAGGTGGAGATGGCTTGGGTATTCCTCTGTCTCCTTAAAAGAGAATGAATGTAAGATCTGGGTGTGTTGGGCTTGGAGAGGAGGGATGTGATCCATGAAGGGTCCCAGCATTTCTCTCTGGTTTGGAAAGCTGTGGTCTTCTGTGAATTAACGTAGCAATGAAATGCAATGAAGCATGTTTTGACTTCCTGACCCCTGTAAGCAGCATCATGTACTCTTGACTCAAACCTGTACAAGGTTGGGAGGAGTGGAGGAGATGTATGTTCTTGCCAGATCAGTTTAATTATATGTGCCTGACATGAGGTGGGACAGTAGAAATATCTTTTTTTTTTTTTTAGTTGACTTGTTCTCTTTAAAGGGTAAGTTTGCATTTATTAAAACTGCCGCTTGCCCATATAAAGTACTCCGGGATAAATGTTGTCTCGATGCTTCTCCAGAAGACGTTACCTTTGAAAGCCCAACCTTAGGGTGTCGCTGATTCCCTCCCCACAGAAATCTCCGGGGTTCCACCCAGTGATCATCCTTGTTACCCTCACATAGCATCAGGGAGAAGGGCTGTGAACTCAGGACGGGAACATTCTTCCTTGGAGCTGGCTGGACTTCCTGGTTCTTTTGCCACCAGCCCTCTCCCTCTGAACTGAGGCAAGTTCAGCTCAGTCCCTGCCTCCCAACTTGCTTGCAGGTCAGGCTCCCACCTAGCTATCTCCTGCCATCCCACGGAGTGAAACAGACCTGGAGTGTGTCTCTCTGATCCCTGAGGCATGCAGTGTTACGTCTAAAGGCTTTTCTATCGGGGCTTAAACCCAGCTCGGTAACCATCTCTCTTGCTGCCACCCTGAGTATTCCGTTGCGTTACCGCCTGGAGAATGCCAGCATTGTGAGGGTTAAACACCAGCTGTTCCTTCTTTGGGGGGAGGATAAAAGTTTGGCATCCTCGGTCCACAGATCTGGAACGGGAGGGTCGTGTCCGCCCGTCTGTTACAGACAAGCTGCTG